GGACGGTACTTAGACCGGTCGAGCGGCCATTCTCCATGGTTGGAATGAGGAGCAGCCAGAGGAGCGCTTCGCTATTTCGGTTGAGCACAGCGCTAAGAACTGCAACGCTAGTTTAGCGCACTGCAGTCCAGGAGGAGCGAGGAGGAGTGAGGAGGACTTACTTGAGACCGTGGAGCGCCATAGCTCCAGCGACCTGTAGCAGATCTCCCGGCGCCTCCAAGACGCCAGCTTGCTATCTGCAGGTTTGGCCTGAGGCCCTCACCAGCTCCCCCATCTCTACCTCTCCTCTCCATCTCAGTCTTCTTCTCCTATTCTTCTTCTTCTTCTTCTTCCTCTTCTTCTTCTTCTTCTTCTTCTTCTTCTTCTTCTTCTTCTTCTTCTTCTTCAGACTTACTCTTCTTCTTCAGATTGGACACTAAGATACGAGTTGGACAGAGATCAGTGTTTGGACTTCGGTAGTAGGAGGCTGAGACACTTACCTGGTTTCGAGACATTGGAGACATTGGGATTGATACTCGGTGGCATCACAGATCGGACATCGGTTACAATGGGATTTCGCACCTCCGACATTGGTGACTCGTATCCACGGCATTCTGATTTTGTTCGGTGACATTTTGGCTACCATATCGATGACCTTGTGGATTCTATCTCGGTGACATCTGGCGCTGTCCACCTCTCCCACCTCCATCGTCTCTCCTCCAACCATTCATCTGTGTATGATTGTACGAGGCCTGAAGCATCGTCTATGTATGGTTTTAGACCCCACTATCCCACGATTGTTTGTGTGTTGAGTGATGTTGGGTGAGTTCAGTCTATGTGAGTCAGTCCATTTCTTAGACTTTCGCTGCATACATGCTCATCCTATATTGGTTGATCTTTGGTTCTGCCCATAGTTGTTGAAGTATTCACTAGTATGCAACAGTTTTGGTATTGGAGCAGACCAATGAAACGGATCTGCTCACAAGGTAATTCTGATTAGGAAATAGATTGCTCAATTAGCATTATTCGTTTTTCTAATCAGTTCTACATAACTATTGAGATTCAAGTTGCAAAATTTCTTTTTTAATTCGGTATTCTGTTTTAATTCGGTATTCTGTTTTATTTCGGTATTGAATTAGGGTTGCAATAAAAATTTCGGTTTTCAGTTTGGGGGGGGAAATCCGCGTTTTTGGAAACACAACCAGAAACCCCGCGAAATTGTGGAAAATTAGGGTTGAAATCCAAAATTTCCGCGATTTTCTTTTTCCTTTTTCCCTAATTGTGAATTTCCGAATGCGGACTTCGGCCTCGTTAGGTTGAAATTCGCGAAATTTCACGTTTTCAAAAATTCTAGTGTTTTTCTTTTCCGAACTATCCGAAATTATTTTTTTCGTTTGGCAGACGGTTCGGAATCGTTTACCTCAGAACTGTAACTTCTGGGCAGTTCACTAACAACGGTGAACTCCCGGACCATAGGCGATCTCAACGGACACCTAATCGACCGACGATTTAAAATTTGTTATTGATAATTATTAAATGTTATTGATTAATGATTCTTAATTAACAATTATTCATCATTCTTATTAATTATTGATTACTTTCGTAATTAAATTGTTTGGGGGGGGGAAGTCAATTTTTTTTCTCTTTTGATTAGGAGTCCAGTCCACATTGGGACAGGGGACTATATGTGGATTGCTTGATCTGTTCTACCACTGTTCCCACCTTTCCTGCCCTCCCCGTACTTTGTGACACCGAGGTCTTCAAATACCGCATCAGCCTGTGTTGATGTCGACGGAACAGAGCACCGGGGCACTGCCACGACGCAGTGCCAAGCTCACAGTTCGTAGCCACTCTGTGGTACCTCCACGATCCAAGTATCAGCAACAATGACTCAGCAGACGAACGACTCCAGCAGCATCAGGTACAACAACTGTAGTACCGGTTACTACCGGAGCCCTTCCCGCCTGCCCTGTCCAAGGGGACCACGAGACCCTATCAACTTGCCTTCAGCGAGTACAGGCATTTACGGATGTTGTCGCTACCGCTAAAGCACAACAGGAGGCATCAGAGGTGGAATGTCAGCGGCTGGCCAATGAGGTGGCACCCCAAGCTCAGCGGACTGCTGAGTTTGACGCAACAGCTCGAGACAGGAGGAATGCCGCCTGAACTGAGTCCCTGATTCTGAATGAGAGTCAGTGGACAACACTCCTCCAAGGCATGATCTTTGTGCCTACGGATGAGTAGGCGGACCCGACACCGGCGGAGGCAGAAAGGAGTAACCTGGCTAACCTGATGTTGGGCATGATGAGGGTGGTGATGTGGAATAACACAATGCTGCAGGCACACCTGCTCGCGGACCGACCGCTCAGACAAAAGCAGCAGCAAGATACTGTTGCCTTAACAACTGTCGTCCTCGCCACAACAATGCAGCAGCAAAAACAGCACCAGCTGTTGAACACCACGATCACAAGCGTCAACAGCATCGAGGCTAAGGCCTCAGCAGCACCACGCTGCACGACAAACACGACGAAGCAGCTCGAGGACCACATCGACCATGTCAACATCATCGACGAACTACGTGACTTTACCAATCCAGCCACGATCAGCAGCACGGTGGCCGCCATCAAGACGGACATCACCAAACTGTAGTCACGACCGAAAGCCACTGCGAAGATATACAAGATGCCACATTTCAACATCAACAAGTTTCACGACTAACAACAAGACCGACGCCTTGCAATGGTGGCAAGCCTTCCTCACCGAAGCAGCCTTCCACCACGTGCCGGACGAGGATATGATGAAGGCACTCTACCTCCAACTCATTGGAGGAGCACAGGCATAGATGAACCACACCGTGGCCAATCTGGGGTGCACCATCGCCCAACTGCACACCCACATTACGTGGGAGCAGTTCGAGCAAATGTGGAACACTCGATTCATGGTCCGCAACGTTGTAAAGGTGGCCATGAACGAGGTCTACTCCAGCTCACAAGGGAACATGCCAACTCGAGACTCGACGATCAAGTGGCAGAAGATAGTAACCACTCCGGGATTCCACTTGAGTTTCCCAAACCAACGATCCGAGTTCTTTTCGTGATCGTGCGCAGGGCTGCAGTCGGCACTCGGCAACGAGTACGACTATGCCTCATTCCAGGCCATTCTGGATCGTGCGAACCTGGTCTTCCAAACGGATGACAAGGCCGCCAACGAACGGCAATCCCAGCCGCAATATGTGGCTAAGCAAGGCTACCAACGGCCGACGCATAACAATGCAATGATTCCTGACGAATCAATCGATCTCCACGCTGCTCCAGCATCCTCGAGTGATGGAGTTGTCGCAGCGCTCCCGGCGAAGCGTCCCAAGAGAGTTCGGAAGAACAAGGCGACACAAGCGACGACATCGACGGGAACTGGGCAGCAACCATGGACGACATACAACATCACCAAGGAAGTACGGAGATTGCCTTTGGTGCAAAAGTGTAAACCACACTACCGCACAATGCTCGGAAAAGGGCAAGGCACGCGTACCCTGTCCAGCTAACTCGGGAAACTGAGTTACGCAAGGAGAGGGGCGACGCCTCTCCTCACTCTGTCGGAACCGGTTACCTTGCTAACAACCTATATCACTACCGAGGAGCATGCGTTAGTTGCTGATTCTCGTGCGACGTACGAGGATTATGCCGCCCAGTTGGTGCCACCATTAGACCAGACTAGCCACGTGCACTTAGATAGCGTATGTGTAGCTTGTACACCGTCGGCAAGAACCAGTCAGTTCACCACTGATTTCCGAGGACTCGACGGCGTGGTCAAGACTTGAGGAGCTTGACCCGCTCACGAGGGAGGACTTCGCTTGGATGCTTCTACCCTCGACTGGAACCTTGCCAAGGCCGCATTGTAACGCCTTGATGGCAAATCTACGCTCCTACTTGCATGCTGCAGTACCAGCTCTGTTGATGGCTGATGAAGTAGTGGTTCCCGGTCTCCGGTCCTATCTTGCGAAGATTGACCGCGAGTACGCCACCCAAAGGTACGCCGAAACCGACACTCCTTTGCTCTATATCCGGATTCGAATCGGAAAGGCAACCTGCAATGCCTTGATTGATTGTGGAGCATCTCGCAACTTCATGAGCCAAGCCTTTATGGCCCTCGCGTTCGAAGGAAGACACAACCTACGCAAGTCACAGTGGTGGACGACCGCACGCAAAAGTCAATTGACCGATGCGTTGACGGCGTGTCGGTGTTCTTTGCGCCCCTTCTGTGCGAGCTGGTGTCTTTTGACATCCTCGACACCAAGTTCGACATGATTCTAGGCATGTCTTGCTTGCATAGCGCCGACCATCCGGTGAACTTTCATGACCGAACCGTTCACATACGCGATCGGAACGGAGTGTTAGTCCCATGTACGGTTGCCACCCCTCACACTTCGATTACTTGTCACGTGGTTTCTGTTGCGAGAATTCGTGACGCCATAGCTTGGAACGACGTCGAGGAAATGAGTCTTGTTTTCTTACATGCTCTCCCCTCACCGGACGGACCAGCCGTGTCGCCGCCGGACCCACGTATTACTCACCTCTTAGACGGATATGGAGACGTCTTTGAGGCTCCTACCGGAACAGTTCCGGATCGGCCCATACGTCACGGGATTACTCTCGAGGCAGGTGCCGTCCCTCCGCGTGGATGCATTTACTGCATGAGCGAAGAGGAACTTGAGGTGCTTCGTGCACAACTCGATGAGCTTCTCGACAAAGGTTGGATTCACCCTAGTTGTTCGCCAAACGGTGCACCGCTTCTCTTCGTCCGGAAGAAGAACAAGGACCTACGGCTGTGCATCGATTGTAGAAAACTTAATGCACAAACCGTAAAGAACATCGACCCTCTCCCTCGGATTGATGATCTCCTCGAGCGATTGGGCGGTGCGACGTACTTCTCGAAGTTGGACTTGAAGTCGGGTTACCACTAGATTCAGCAGACGAAGGACTCCAACAACATCAGGTATAGCAACTGCAGTACCGCTTACTACCAGAGGCCTTCCCGCCTGCCCGGTCCAAGGGGAGCACGAGACGTTATCAGCTTACCTTCAGCGAGTACCGGCATTTACAGATGCCGTCTCTACTGCTAAAGCACAACAGGAGGCAGCAGAGGCAGAACGTCAGCGGCTGGCCAATCAGGCGGCAGCCCAAGCTCAGCGGACTGCTGAGGCTGACGCAACGGCTTCAGACAGGCAGAATGCCGCCAGCACTAAGTCCCTGATTCTGAATGAGAGTCAGTGGACAGCACTCCTCCAAGGCATGATCTTTGTGCCTACGGACGAGCAGGCGGACCCGACACCGGCGGAGGCAGAAAGGAGTAACCTGGCTAACCTGATGTTGGGCATGATGTGGGTGGTGAGGTGGAATAACACAATGCTGCAGGCACACCTGCTCGCGGACCGACTGCTCAGACAAAAGCAGCAGCAAGATACTGTCGCCTTAACAGTTGTCGTCCTCGCCACAGCAGTGCAGCAGCAAAAACAGCACCAACTGTTGAACACCATGATCACACACGTCAACAGCATCGAGGCTAAGGCCTCAACAGCGCCAGGCTGCACGACAAACACGGCGAAGCAGCTCAGGGAGCGCATCGACCATGTCGTCAACATCATCGGCGAACTAGGTGACTTTACCAGTCCAGCCACGATCAGCAGCACGGTGGCCGCCATCAAGACGGACATCACCAAACTGCAATCACGACCGGAAGCCACTGCGAAGATATACACGATGCCACGTTTCAACATCAACAAGTATGACGACTACAACAAGACGGACGCCTTGCAATGGTGGCAAGCCTTCCTCACCGAAGCAGCATGCCACCATGTGCCGGATGAAGATATGATGAAGGCACTCTACCTCCAACTCATTGGAGGAGCACAGGCATGGATGAACCACACCACGGCCAATCTGGGGTGCACCATCGCCCAACTGCACACCCACATTACGTGGAAGCAGTTCGAGCAAATATGGAACACTCGATTCATGGTCTGCAACGTTGTAAAGGCGGCCATGAACGAGGTCTACTCCAGCTCACAAGGGAACATGCCAACTCGAGATGGATGATCAAGTGGCAGAAGATAGTAACCACTCCGGGCTTCGACTCGAGTTTCCCAAACCAACGATTAGAGTTCTTCTCGCGATCGTGCGCAGGACTGCAGTCAGCACTCGGCAACGAGTACGACTATGCCTCATTCCAGGCCATTCTGGATCATGCGAACCTGGTCATCCAAACGGATCACAAGGCCTCCAACGAACGGTAGTCCCAACCGCAATATTTGGCTAAGCAAGGCTACCAATGGCCGACGCATAACAATGCAATGATTCCTGACGAATCAATTGAACTCCACGCTGCAGCAGCATCCTCCAGTGATGGAGGAGTTGTCGCAGCGCTCCCGACGAAGCGTCCCAAGAGAGTTCGGAAGAACAACGCGACACAAGCGACGACATCGACGGGAACTGGGCAGCAACCATGGACGACATACAAGTATTTGACCTTCGTCAACGGTACGGACATTGCCTTTGGTGCAATAGTGTAAACCACACTACCTCACAATGCTCGGAAAAGGGCAAGGCACGCGTACCCCGTCCAACTAACTCGTGAAACTGAGTTACGCAAGGAAATGGGCGACGCCTCTCCTCACTCCGCCGGAACCGGTTGCCTTGCTAACAACCGATATCACTACCGGGGAGCATGCGTTAGTCGCTGATTCTCGTGCTACGTATGAGGATTATGCCACCCAGTTGGTGCCACCATTAGACCAGACTAGCCTCGTGCACTTAGATAGCGTATGCGTAGCTTGTACACCGTCGGCAAGTGAACCGGTCACTTCGCCACTGATTCCGAGGACTCGACGGCGTGGTCAAGACTTGAGGAGCTTGACCCACTCACGAGGGAGGACTTCGCTTGGATGCCTCTACCCTCGACCGGAACCTTGCGAAAGCCGCATTGTAACGCCTTGATGGCAAATCTACGCTCCTACTTGCACGCTGCAGTACCAGCTCCGTTGACGGACGACGGAGTAGCGGTTGCCGATCTCCGCTCCTATCTTGCGAAGATTGACCGCGAGTACGCCACCCAAATCTACGCCGAAATCAACGCTCCTTTGCTCTATATCCGCATTCAAATCGGAAAGGCAACTTGCAGTGCCTTGATTGATTGCGGAGCGTCTCGCAACTTCATGAGCCAAGCCTTTATGGCCCGCGCGTTCGAAGGAAGACACAACCTATGCCAGTCACACTGGCGGACGACCGCACGCAAAAGTCAATTGACCGATGCGTTGACGGTGTGCCGGTGTACTTTGCCCCCCTTGTGTGCGAGCCAGTGTCTTTTGACATCCTCGACACCAAATTCGACACGATTCTAGGCATGTCTTGCTTGCGTAGCGCCGACCATCCAGTGAAAACCAAACCGTTCACAAACGTGATCGGAATGGAGTGTTAGTCCCATGTACGGTTGCGACCCCTCACACTTCGATTACTTGTCACGTGGTTTCCGTTGTGAGGATTCGCGACACTATAGCTCATAACGACGTCGAGGAAATGGGCCTTGTTTTCTTATATGCTCTCCCCTCGCTGGACGGACCAGCCGCGTCGCCGCCAGACCCACGTATTACTCACCTCTTAGACGAATATGGAGACGTCTTTGAGGCTCCCACCGGAACGGTTCCGGATCGGCCCATACGTCACGGGATTACTCTCGAAGCAGGTCCCTCCGCGTGGATGCATTTACTGCATGAGCGAAGAGGAACTCGAGGTGCTTCGCACACAACTCGATAACCTTCTCGACAAAGGTTGGATTCGCCCTAGTTGTTCGCCATACGGTGCACCGGTTCTCTTTGTCCGGAAGATGAACAAGGACCTACGGCTGTGTATCGACTATAGAAAACTTAATGCACAAACCGTAAAGAACGTCGGCCCTCTCCCTCGGATTGATGATCTCCTCGAGCGATTGGGCGGCGCGACGTACTTCTCGAAGTTGGACATGAAGTCGGGTTACCACCAGATTCAGCAAACGAACGACTCCAGCAACATCGGGTACAACAACTGCAGTACCGGTTACTACCGGAGCCCTTCCCGCCTGCCCGGTCCAAAGGACCACGAGACGTTATCAGCTTACCTTCAGCGAGTACCCGCATTTACGGATTCCGTCACTACCGCTAAAGCACAACAGGAGGCAGCAGAGGCTGAACGTCAGCGGCTGGCCAATGAGGCGGCAGCCCAAGCTCAGCGGACTGCTGAGGCTGACGCAACGGCTCGAGACAGGCGGAATGTCGCCAGCACTGAGTCCCTGATTCTGAATGAGAGTCAATGGACAACACTCCTCCAAGGCATGATCTTTGTGCCTACGGACGAGCAGGAGGACCGACACCGGCGGAGGCAGAACGGAGTAACCTGGCTAACCTGATGCTGGGTATGATGAGGGCGGTGATGTGGAATAACACAATGTTGCAGGCACACCTGCTCGTGGACCGACCGCTTAGACGAAAGCAGCAGCAAGATATTGCCGCCTTAACAGCTGTCGTCCGCGCCACAGTGACGCAGCAGCAAAAACAGCACCAGCTGTTGAACACCACGATCTCACGCGTCAACAACATCAACGCTAAGGCCTCAGCAGCGGCAAGCTGCACGACAGACACGGCGAAGCTGCTCGGGGAGCGCATTGACCATGTCGTCAACATCATCGGTGACCTAGGTGAGTGTACCAGTCCAGCCACAATCAGCAGCATGTTGGCCGCCATCAAGACGAACATCACCAAACTGCAGTCACGACCGGAAGCCACTGTGAAGATATATAAGATGCCACATTTCAACATCAACAAGTTTGACGACTACAACAAGACCGACGCCTTGCAATGAAGGCAAGCCTTCCTCATCGAAGCAGCCTGCCACCACGTGCCGGACGAGGATATGATGAAGGCACTCTACCTCCAACTCATTGGAGGAGCACAGGCATGGATGAACCACACCGCGGCCAATCTGGGGTGCACCATCGCCCAACTGCACAACCCCATTACGTGGGAGCAGTTCGAGCAAATGTGGAACACTCGATTCATGGTCCTCAACGTTGCAAAGGCGGCCATGAACGAGGTCTACCCCAGCTCAGAAGGGAACATGCCAACTCGAGACTGGACAATCAAGTGTTGTGTAACCGTTTGAACGCCGTGAACGCGCGTTCTCGTTCAAATGTGTGTTTGAACGCGGATTGCGCGTTCGCGTTCAAAATTGAATGACGTTCAATTATTTTTTTTATTGTTTTATTGTGTTTACAAAAATCATTTCGATGCCCCTTGCATGCGAGCCGGTGTCTTTTCACATCCTCGACACCAAGTTCGACATGATTCTATGCATGTCTTGCTTGCGTAGCGCCGACCATCCGGTGAACTTTCATGACCGAACCATTCACATACGTGATTGGAATGGAGTGTTGGTCCCATGTACGGTTGCGACCCCTCACACTTCGATTGCTTGTCACGTGGTTTCCGTTGCGAGGATTCGCGACGCCATAGCTCGGAACGACGTCGAGGAAATGGGCCTTGTTTTCTTACATGCTCTCCCCTCGCCGGACGGACCAGCCGTGTCGCCGCCGAACCCACGTATTACTCACCTCTTAGACGGATATGGAGACGCCTTCGAGGCTCCCACCGGAACGATTCCGGATCGGCCCATACGTCACGGGATTACTCTCGAGGCAGGTGCCGTCCCTCCGCGTGGATGCATTTACGTCATGAGCGAAGAGGAACTCGAGGTGCTTTGCGCACAACTCGATGACCTTCTCGACAAAGGCTGGATTCGCCCTAGTTCTTCGCCATACGGTGCACCGGTTCTCTTCGTCAGGAAGAAGAACAAGGACCTACGGCTGTGCATCGACTATAGAAAACTTAACGCACAAACCGTAAAGAACGTCGGCCCTCTCCCTCGGATTGATGATCTCCTGGAGCGATTGGGCGGCGCGACGTAGTTCTAGAAGTTGGACTTGAAGTCGGGTTACCACCAGATTGAAATCCAGCCTCAAGATCGGTACAAGACCGCCTTCAAAATGCGGTATGGGCATTTAGAGTGGGATTTGGACTCACCAATGCCCCGACAACCTTCTAAGCAGTCATGACAACGGAGTTCCGAGACTTGCTTGATCGTACCGTCCTCATCTACCTCCACGATATCTTGGTCTATAGCAGGACGCTTGACGAGCACCTCGTACACCTTCTTGTGGTGTTGGATCGTTTGCGAGCAGCCAAGTACAAAGCAAACCGCGACAAGTGCGAATTCGCCAAACAAGAGCTTGGGTACTTATGGTATTATATGACGCTGAAGGGCATTTGTCCTTTAGCGGACAAGATCCAAGCCATCGTGGATTGGTCGGAACCCCGTTGGACGGCGGATGTACGCTCTTTCATGGGTTTGGCTGGATACTACCAGCGCTTCGTCGAGTCTTACTCCAAAGTGGCAGCTCCTTTGTCGAGACTTCAGTCCCCGAAGGTACGATTCGAGTTCGATGACGCAGCTCGTGGCGCATTCAATATGTTGAAGGCGGCGATGCAAGACGCACCGGCCCTCCGTATCTATGACCCCACCCTACCCACCCAAGTAACTATGGATGCTTCCAGGTACGGTATTGGTGCGGTATTGGAACAATGCCACACGGATGCTTGGCACCCGGTTGAGTACTTCTCCCAAAAGGTGCCTCCCATCAACACTCTCGGCGACGCTAGGAAGAAAGAGCTACTCGCGTTCGTCACCGTTCTCAAACGGTGGCGCCACTTTCTTCTCGGTCGTTGGCGTTTTAGATGGAACACGGACAACAATCCGTTGACCTTCTACAAAACGCAGAACACGGTCACTAGCACGATCGGTCGATGGATGTACTACATCCACAAGTTCGACTTTGAGCCGTTCCACATTCCCGGTCCCGCCAATCGAGCAGCAGACACCCTCTCACAACGGCCCGATCTTTGTGCCCTCGTGACTACGACGTTCCAACTCGACGACGATCTGCAGCAGCATTTCGTCAAAGGCTACAAGTCCGATCCGACTTACTCTACGCTTTATGCGGAGCTCTCATCGGATCACCCGCCGGACGGTCATTATCGTATCTCGGATGGGTTCCTACTCCTCCACACGACAGGAAAGGACTTGTTAGTGGTGCCCCAAAATCGCATCTTACGGACCCGTCTTCTCAGTGAATGCCACGATGCACGACTTTCGGCACACCTTGGCGTGACCCGCACATTGGCCCGCCTCCGCCAGCGTTTTCACTGGCCAGACGTTCTTCACGACGTCACGAGGTATATTGAGTCATGCGTAGTTTCCCATCGTAACAAAGGTAGATCTCAGGTCCCTTATGGCGAACTCAAACCGATGTCGATCCCTCGGGCACCTCGCCTGTCCAGTGCTATGGATGTTACAGGCCCGTTTCCCCGCGATCGCCTCGGTCATGACGACATCCTTACGGTCGTTGACCGTTTGAGCAAGTAGGCTCGTTTCCTCCCATGCAAGTATCGTGCTACAACTCCCGAGCTCACCCGACTCTTGCACACCGGCTGGATCACATGCCACGGTGCTTCGGAAGATATTGTGAGCGACAGAGACACTCACTTCATGTCCGCCTTCTGGATTTCCATCATGACGGAGTCTGGTTCGACTATGAAGCCGAGTTCCGCACGACACCCACAGACGGATGGACAGTCGGAATGAGCGCATCAAACCGCTCAAGTGACGGTACGTACACATCCGTCCCGACCAGAAAGATTGGGCTGACCGGCTTCCCGACATTGAGTTCGCCTATAACACTTCGGTGCACCCGACGATCTGCATCACTCCATTCGAGTTACATCATGGTGGAGAGAAAGCCCAAGTCTTTGTCGATCTTCTTCTACCATGGGCCGTCGACATAGACGTCGCTTGCTCTCCCGCTTCCGTTTGGAAGTACTGGGACTTGTTGATCAAAGCCCGCACAAACATGCAAAAGGCTCAAATTCGCATGCAGCAGCAAGCTAACCGACGTCGACTCCCATGTCCTTTCCGCGAGGGAGACCTTGTTTGGGTCCTCGCTGAGGAATTCACGCTCGAGCAGGACGTCTCACGCAAACTCCTCCCAAAATGGTTTGGACCATGGAAGGTAGTTTCGGCAGCAGGCGATGACCCTGCAAGTCCTTCCTTTGTGATTGCCATCCCACCGCACCTCCATGTGCACCCGGTCTTCCATGCGTCGAAGATGGCCGTCTACACGCCACCATCCGCAATGCAATACCAAGTCACTTTCAAGCAATGTGACCCGGATGACACTCGTTGGATCTCCCCCGCAGACTTAAAGGCACCTGCACCACTCATCTTCTCCGATTACGAGAACCGGATACTTGCCAAGGAGAAAGTTCGTCCCACCCGACCCACCCAGGTATCGGACAAACAACTTCGCCCTCGCAGGTAGCTCGGTCTTTTAAGGGGGGGAGTGTGTTACATTCTGCAACTTCACACGGGCCTTCACATACCCGACATACCGGTTCAGGGGTACCCAGGCCGGCCTGGCCAAAGGCCAGGCCTTTTTCTCCCGGTAGGCCCTGTTAGGCCACCGGTTGGGCCTCAGCGCCAGCAGACCCAGGTTGGCCCAAACGACATGACTGTTTGAGCCTGGTGGCGCTCTTGAGGCTGCCGCCCGCCGGTCTGAGCTGAACAGTCATTTCGACGGTTCAGCCCACGACGAAGGAGGCCAGCATCGAGGCCGACTGACCGCCGGACGGTACTTAGACCGGTCGAGCGGCCATTCTCCATGGTTGGAATGAGGAGCAGCCAGAGGAGCGCTTCGCTATTTCGGTTGAGCACAGCGCTA